GTGTATTGGATACAGTGTAAATAAATTTTGTAGAAATGACAGCCACAAATATTCGACCAGGACGAACTCAGGCCGCTACAAATGACAATTTGCCCAATAGGGCTTGTAGTTGACGTTGTGTGAAAGTTTTCGAAGTTAAGCACTGTTGTAATTCATCAGACCATTCAGAGACCCGTTCATCCGGAACGGCGAAAGTCATTGTATTCGTGTTGACCAGAATGCCCAAGCAGATCATTTCGGTCGGTGTGGTGAACAGTCTTTTTCAGGGGATGATTGTAAACCGAGTTCGCTGAATAACTGACCGAGACCTTCAAAGGCAGTCTGTGCTGTACAGTGGTGTTCCGCGCCATAGAAGTCATCCAAATAAACATCGGCTGTATAACCTTCTTGCCTGAAAATATAAATTACTGCTTGCGTGGACCGTTGGTAAATGAGCGCAGAAGAGCGAATGCCGAACGGACAACGTATGTGAAAGTACAATCCGCCATTCCAATTGACACCGAGATATTTAAATTATTTCTTAGACAATCAAAAAACTTTAAATCATTTTATAGTATAATCTAGTTCATTCATTTTTTATAGTTTTTAAGCTATTTTTAGATATTATTTTATATTTACTAACTGTCTTTTTTTTTTCATTCAATAATAATTTATTAACTATTAGTTATAATTTATTTTTTAGTGTAGGGGTTTTTATCTTGTAGTTATAATTTTATAGTTTTTTACACACATATCTTCATAGTTTATATATTAGAGGGCCACAGGKTTGTTAGCATATTGCTATTTAGTGCTACCATCAGTAAATAAAGAGTTTATCATTGTTATTATTATATTAATAATCTTTAGGGTCGTCGAACGGAAACTGTCGATAAGTACGTTTAAGATCTTTCTTATAGTCTAAGCACGAACCGCGTTTAGGTACAGTCTGTAGTGGTGACGTAATCAAAGTTTGGTGTAATGGATTTGACACAAAGGGTCCTGCAGTCGCGCCGAATTTCGATTCTGTGTCCAGATAGTGTTGAACGTGCTCAGGGTTAATTTCTGCTGATTTATGATTAGTCGATGACGACTGTCAATCTCTGACATGTAGTTAATAGGCCAGCCATATTGCATAAATTTGACCACGTCATGATCCATATACTCAGATAAATATGATCTCCATTGCGGGATGTTTAGATGAGTTGTCACAGGAACTTTGGTTCCGTAGGCGTTAGGTCCTTTATCCCGAGATGCCAGTAAGTGTGCGACAACTGCTTTATTACAATTAAAAGAGTTTATATCATTTGTTTTCGTGTACATTTTTTCTTTTTCCGTTGATTTGTCCAGTTCATTATCCGTAATTTGATTTAAATCTGAGCGGGAATCTTGGAGTCATTGACCTGGGATTGGCATACGACGCTTTGGACAATTTAGCATTGGGTGCACGTGTTCCGTCGACTTGCAAACACGGCAAACGTGCATAGTGGCGTAACTATCAGACGATGAATCACAAACACACGCTCCTTTGTAATTCCATGCCTGACAACCTTTCTCAGCAGTTTTGTCTCCATTCGTCGATGTTGTTTGACGCGATGCGTTGCTCTTTGTTGTCGTTGATCGGAGATCCGAGTGCTTGAAGAATGTCGTGCTTGAATTTCTAATCTCTTCGAGCTGAGACCATTCCAATCGACGCTGCTCCACTTGGCGCGCTATGTAGCAATAAAAACCACGAACACTACTCCAGGAATATCTAATGGCTTTCGAAGAAATCAATTCGAGGAGAGCGTACATGGTTTCTTTTGCCTCGGCGTCGTAGGGCTTGATCATCGCGATATAGCCTGCTATGAAACCTGCCATATCTAAAGAGTTTGAATCTGCACTACTTGATGACATACCTGGAACGAAGTCTTGGGGACACTCTATGGTCCGTTTCTTGGCATCTTTACCCTTGTTTTTTGTAGCTGTATCGTCAGGGGGTGTGGTGCCTTGTTTTAAACGTAACAATTCCAACTCAAGCTGAAGTTTTTCTTTCTGCAGTTTGGCAAGTTCAAGCTCCTGTGCTAAGGATGAACATTTGGTCAAAGGTGTTGTTCTTGAAGTAGTCGGAGGCGGTAGAGTAGGATAGTTTGCCTCCTCAATGTCGAAATCCTCGAGCTGAGCAAGTTGTTCGAATAAGGTTGATCGTTCACGTGGTATTTCTTGTTTTGCGGTTGAACGCGATTTCTTGGACATTGTTGGTGATTTGAGCTTGAGAAGACGCTAGATATTGTCTGTCGACGAGAAGGCGTTCGCTCGGTTTGGTTTGGTTTGACAAAAGAGAGAAAGAGCTGGCTGGACCTCGAGGCTGGGTGGTGTGCGAGACTTAATGAGCACAAGACACGGAGCAGGGAATGGAACGCGATATCTGGCCAGTTCTTTCTCTGGTAATCACCCATCATCACCTATGGTTATCATGGTAAAATAATTGCCCTATTTCACTATGACGTCACATCAAATAATCTATTGTTTAAACGCAAAGGATCATGGTCGTCGGACGTGGTCAAATCAACGCAAACTAACCGAAAATTGTTCTAAATCCCGTATCATTCCACGAAGAGAAGTAGAATAGCAAGCAAACGCTCAGAATATTTTTTAGTACATATTAACACATAATATATCTGAAAACCAGGCCATTTGAGATTAAACTGTTTCGCCAGGAGCAAATTTTGTTGAATTTTCTATTGGATTTGGCGATTCTATCCCCCACATAAACAAGCAGTGACGTCATAATGAAATAGGGCAAGTTTTGCAGTGTGAAGGGGGTGGAAGTCATGCTAACGTTTTCATTTTAATCTACCGCTCCTCCTTGACCTGCAAATGTCCGATCATTTCCTAATAAAGAAAAATAGTCGTTGAACAAATATTAAAATTGCCTTTAGTAATAGTTAGCGCACAGGGAGCCCAGCTGTACATATTTAAAAAAAACAATAATAAGCTTTGCCTAAATAAATGAATAAATAAATACTATTATTATAATATATTTATTTAAATTAGAGTTTTTGTAAGTTTTTGCTTAATGCCATTAAGGCAAGACATTGAATATTTTTATTAAGCAGTTGCGCTATCTCCAGATTCCCCAGATTCTCCAGATTCTTCTGAATCACCAGATTCCCCAGATTCCCCAGATTCTCCAGATTCTTCTGAATCACCAGATTCACCAGATTCACCAGATTCACCAGATTCACCAGATTCACCAGATTCACCAGATTCACCAGATTCACCAGATTCACCAGATTCTCCTGAATCACCGGATTCACCAGATTCCTCAGTGTCACCAGATTCTCCTGATTCTCCAGATTCAGCATCGTCTTAAATTTAATAAGAGTTCAAGACATTATTTCTGATGAACAACTCACGCATTGTGACCGCAACCCGCGCGCCGGCTGGTTCAGCTTGAGTATCGGTCTGTCGTGCGCGAGGTCGTGAGTTTAATTACCGACCGCACTAACAATTATCTTATATATAGAATATAGAAAAGTTATCCTTCTCACCAAAATCTAGTTGCTTTGTTTCTGGTTTTTATTTTGACATGTTTGCTCGTTTAATTTAGCGGGTAGAGTCACATGGTCAGTAATTTGTCCATTTATCAAACCAAAATATATATTTTGAATACCTGTGTCCTTCTTCCTGCGCTCGTCATTAACAGACTCGTCAGATTCTGAATCCTCGTTATTGCCAGATTGATCTTCATTAAAAGGGCATTATAATATATTAATATTGATAAATTGACCTTGAAGTAATGATTTCCCATTTCAGATCACGTGTCATTCCCTAAAGTATCGCTTCTTTGTTTAACGGTTGCATAAGAGCAACTCTGACAAAGAATACTATAGAGGTTTTGCACCGACATGTGACGGCAGCCATGTTAGATGACAGGAAAGCAAACGATATAAAGAAAAAAATAAATACAGGATTACCAGATCTTGGTCGGATATATAAATTACCGCTCTTTCGGGCAGCCAATCAGAACGAACGATATTTAGGATATTGGACAGGAAAAATATTTTGGTTATAGAAGTAAGATGGAGGGGAAAATATGATTATTCTTCTGGTATCTGGCTTGGAAAATCATGATTAATTCAAAAGCGCAATCAATGAAAAAAAAAAATAAAAAAATAAATAAATAAATAAAATGCAATGTAAGTTAAAGGAAAAGCTGAGAGATTAAGAAAGAAAAAGAAGAGTTGAAGGTATGTCTTGTGAAGGGGATTCTAAGTTAATTTTGAATACCTATGTTTCTCTTTCTGCGATTCTCATCACCAGATTCTTCAGATACTCCGGAATCATCGCCAGACTGATCTTGAATGAAAAATGGAATGCAAACAATTAATCCGTGAAACACTAGAGTGCACGCACTAAAACCGTGAACATTAAATGGTACTAATTAGTACTATTTCATACAGAATCCTTTGTTTTTATTGTTTAATTATCACCATTTAGTACTAAAAATTAGTATTTGTTTCAAGGATTTAGTGTGAGCACTCTGATTACTAAATAGTACAAAATAGTGCTAATTAAACAATAGAAAATAATGGAATTTGCATGTAATTGAGCTATTTAGTATTACTAAAGTTTCACGGTTGTATTGTTTGCACTCTACTGATGAAACTTAATAGTCTGTCATATGTTAACTTAGCCCCGTCCACAAGTTATCCGCAAATTTTTGTATCCGCAAATTTTTTTTTGCGGATACGTGTTGCGTCCACACGTGCCCGCAAATTTTTGTGTCCGTATCCGCAAATTTTACGAAAACGGATACGTGTGGACGGCGAAAACGATTCGAATACGCTGCGTGTGGACGCAAACATTTTCGTATCCGCAAAAAATAATTTGCGGGTACAAAAACCTCCGGATACGTGTGGACGGAGCCTAAAATATTCCTATAGCGTACAGTACTGGCTCAATGAACGTGCACAGTACTACATAAAGTGATATTGAATATAACCTAGTTGGTCTAGTAGTTCATGAGGCAACCACAACTAGTAGTAGTTACAGTTACGGTAAGATATGGTACGGTTTAAGTACGGCCACGAATTGCGGTATCGTTTACCACTCACACGAAAACCGCTGCCTTCAACTAGGCTCGTAGGTGAAGACTTGTTTCAAGATGGGCTTTGGAATCATGCTTTTCTGCCAGCAGAGGTTTTTTTCCTGACCCTCCGTGGTCTGGCTGGTCGAGGAGAAAAAATATTCCAAAAAATTCTTGGGCACATATATTAGCCGCCATGTTGGTTGACTTCAACCAAAAGATTAGGTCTTGTTGTCTTTTGTTATATCAACCAACATGGCAGCCATGTCTTTTGTCCTTGTGCATGTGACGTCGTAGTCCCCATGTTGGTTCAAATTTGAACCAAAGATTAGGTCTTGTTTTCTTTTGTTATATCAACCAACCTGGTGGCAATGTCTTTTATCCTTGTGCATTTGTCGTCATAGCCGCCATGTTGGTTGACTTGAACAAAAGATTAGGTCTTGTTTTCTTTTGTCATATCAACCAACATGGCGGCCATGTCTTTTGTCCTTGTGCATGTAACGTCATGCATAGCCGTCATGTACGGTTACATGAACAATAACAACCAATGGTTTAGGTGTCTGTATTCATATTATTCAACATGCAGACGAACATGCCTTTTGTCCTAGTGTGTATATGTTTGTATGTATTTCATGTTTTATTTTTTTACTTTTGTCGCGGAAAATTGCCAAAAAGATTCCTTCAGTTTCCATATTATCTAGTTAAAAATCTTCACTTACCTCCAACTGGCTTAGCCAGTGATTGGTGAACGAGAACACATGCAAATACAAACAGTAAAATAGCTGTTCTTGGATTCATTTTCGACTTTTGATCTTGGATTATTCTACTGGAAAAAAAAATTCAAGAAACTTAAAACATTTGAAAGTTTTTTCATAATATTTCAAATATTATGGCAGTGTGGAAAATTCAATTGTTTTGCTACTAGTAAGCAATTCCTCATTCAGGGGGAGAAATTGCGAAGCTTTTAACAACATGACCCACACAACCAAAAACCTCTTAGAAATGGTACGTGCGTAACCAAAAAGGCGGGAAATAGAAACTTCCGGTAAATGGTAAACGCGTCTACCAGATAAACCGAAAGAGGCGGGGAAATTCTGAATCTATTCTATAAACCAAAAAAAGACTGAAAATATTGACTTTCAGAGTCTACCGGATAAACCGATAAAGGCTGGCTGGACAACGATTTTAAGACTTAAACTTCGTATTTTAGCTGGTAATTATTTTAAATGGTATACAGAAGAATTCGTAAGAATTTCCTAAAATCAGTAAATTAGTTTAAGTCTATTGTCTTATTTTTATTTTATTTAGCATTCACCTCACATCAAACAGGCATAGCTTAAAAAAAAAAATGAAAAATATAAACAAATTACAAGCAGATGAGAGGTAAGCTCAAACATAGAAAGTGATAAAAATACTACAATAGTGCAAAAGATATTTATTTTTAGTCTAAACTTATTAAATGATATATAATAAATCCTGCTCTCTGTTTGGCTGAGCTATGAGCTAATAGGCTGCAGGTCTAATTGTTAAATATTAATGAATAACTAGCTTTTTCATGGAAGATATCACTTTATATAATAGATTTTCACGAACGCGCGCTCTGATTGGCTGAAAAGCTATGTTTTATCAGAGTATAGAAACATAGATATGACGTCAAAACCATGTTTTCTATATAAAATTAAACATAGAAATTACGTCACAGGAATTCGGCTTTTCAATTTAAAACATTTTCACATTTTAAATTTAAAATATTCATTTATTTTTATCAAGAATTATGTCTTTCCTCTAAAAAAGGAAAACGTGTCGTTTTGAAGCACATTTGATTGGTACTACATTTCGACGAGTAAAGCTTTTTTTCGTTTGTGCTGCGACTATACAATGAACTTATTTCGCTAAACTAGAAGCTTTTTACTTGACCGTGATGGTGCTAAAATCAAAAAATAATTTTAGAAATTTTTCATAGTCTAACAAGAATGAACAAATCTATTGTAAGAAACTGAAGCTTACTTTACAAACTACCATCGTCAATTTTACGCTAACGGTAATTTTTTTACCGTAATTTGTTTTCCAATAGCCCGAGACTACGATTACAAAATACTACCTATACTACTATAGTTCAGGGTCAACTAAAAAACCAAGTTTTCCAAGTACTGCACTGCTAGCTTCCAATTTTGAAGATCAAGATATTTCAGTCTCTCGGCTCCTTGGCATTCAAAGTGTTCATAAGCTGGTTTTCTTGAGTGTTTGTACAGGTTAAATGTCCATTTAAGGATCTGAACTTTGAAAACGTTTTTCAAACTCTTCAGCATTTGAATTTTCATTTCTTCTAGCAGTTAAATGCTTGTTTTCTTTGGCTTTTTTGCTAAAATTTACAAGCAATTCTCCTTTCTTGTTGAACAAATGCGATAAACCAGTTGTATGCCAGCCTGTACAGATATGTCATTACCTGTCAAAACTGGACCAATCAGATAGCCATAGGTTGCGTTTTTATCCAATCATCGCATAGATCAAATTTGTTTACGTGAGTTTGACGACAGACGCGCGCTCTTTTTGTAAACAAATCCTTTTTTTGAAATTTTACGCTATTTTTTTCGTAAAAATCTATTATATAAAGCGAATAGATCAGGCTTAGCTATGTTCTGTTCTCTGATAAAACACTTCTGAAGCTGTAGAACACTCAAAAAGTTATAGAAATCAGTATGATGTTTTGATTGTCAGTATACTGATTTGTTCAATAGAAACACCCGTCACTTGAAACAATAGAGGACTGTGTTCTTTTATATATATATATATATATAAGTAAAAAGAGAAAACAGGCAACTTCTAACTGTTCCAAAAAATTGTATTTAACGTKTCGGCCATTCGGCCTTCTTCAGAAAAAATAATGATATATACAGGATAAATAAATAAATAAATAAAATCCAAATTCACCCAAATGTTTGCTTTACCTTTAAATTGAGAAATAACGGCACAGAGATACAAAATACTGAGCTACCTAAAAAGCCCACTTGGAACAGGCTGTAATTTAATGACAATCAAACTTACTTTCTAGATTAAGATACAGTCAATGTCATTAACGTTGTCCACCGAAAAAAAGACATTTAGACATTTAGACATTTAGACATTTACACATTTAGACATTTACACATTTAGACTAAAAGAAATATCACGTGTTTCCTCGAACGTTCTGGCATAAAACAAACGCTGAAGTACAATTCTCCATCTTAAATCCTCACTAAATGGTCGGGGCATTCTGGATTTTCGATTCATGAGTTGAATATTACATTTAAAGTTCAGGCTCACTTTAGTCTAAATATCTAAATGTGCAAATGTCTAAATGTGTAAATGTCTTTTTTCGGTGGACAACGTTAATGACATTGACTGTATGTGTTGTCTCCGATTCTTTGTTCGATGTTTACAATGAATGGCAGAAATATTTTTCGGGTAAGAAATTATGTTACACCCAAATACCAGTGAACTGAGAAAGGTTCCAAGATGTCAGGGAATTCGACGTCGGTGTTATGTTATCAATGTTTAATCATTTTGAGTGGTTTTCTTACGAAATGGTTGAATAACCGATGCACTTACTTCATGGCGGACTTGTTTTAATACCTCACTGGTTTTTAGTATGAGGTCCTWATCCGGGATGAAATATCATATTGAAGTTCACATTCGTTTCCTTTGCACACTGCTTATAAAATCTTAGCAAGATTAACATATATTCATAAGCAAAAATATGAAGATTTTATGCTAGCGTATCCATGTTTGTGTACCAGTAAGAAATATTTGAAAAATGCAAAAAATAAAAAATATATATAATACTTGTTTTTGAAAATAGATTACGCCAAGGTTCGTAGCCGTGCTTAGAGAAAAGGGCCAGAAACCTTGTAAAGAACAAATCTGAAACATATTAAATTTGTAACGGTTTTGTTAACTTAAAAAGAGAAGAACGAATGGCGTAGCGATCCGAGTTCGAGTCCCACCTGACTCGGTGTTGCATTTGAATGCCCAAGTTTCTATTTTCTCACTTGTACTTAGAGTTTTTTTTCCCGGGTTCTCTAATTTTCCTTCCTCCGCCAGAATCAACTTATAAAACTCTTATTGCAACGAGCCACTCTGGTGAAAGCCAATGCAAAATCCTATCTAATTATCTATTTATCTATTATCTAATATAATACATGTCATTCGTTATTATGAAAGATTTGAAGTAGGAAATAACCTTTTGATAAGAGTAAATTAATCAATGTTTAGTAGCTTTATCTTCTGATCACTACCTCATCAGGTAATTCAATGAGTATTGAATTCCCCCCAAATGTATCAATATAGCCTTCCCCTACATGAACAGCAGATTTTTAAGCCCTTAACAGCTTATAAGAAGCGTTTTAAAGATTCTTTCTGTTGCTGGATCTTTACAATATAAAGTACTCCAACTACTTGATCCATGGTTGTTGAATAGTTTAAATGCGATGTTTTCAATAGTCACGCGACAGTTATATCTGTATATTCTTGGGTGAGACTGTATATATATCATATGCATCAACTTTCACCCTTTCGTGCACATATACAAGTATTTCAAAAGTATATCAAATATTATGGCATATCGAGAAACAAAAGACATATATATCACTAAAGCTGCAGAATTGTTTTTGGTTTTATATATATGTATTCCCTTTTGTGCGATTGCGATTCAGGTCAAATTGTTTTGTTATTGAAACAATTTGGATAGAAAACAAAACAAACGATTATATTACAATGTAACGACAACATATTTGAAATTTTGTATTCTTTTGTAACTATGTCCCATGTTAGGAGGGCCAAGATGTTTGATAACATATCCCTTCCCATTATACTACAATAGGTATGTACATGTAAAACACTGGTGAAACACATGCTAAAGGTCAAATCTTCAAACACAAGTGTCACTTGCGTCTGGTAATCTCGTAGAAATTCGCCACTAGTTTGAACTAGATCCAAAATCACCAAACGGCTGCTGAGAGAATATTTATTAGCATTCGATCAAATTCGAATATTTTTTACTGATACAGACGAAATTAGAGATTATATTATTTCTCAATTTTCTATATGACTTTTCTATTTTATTTTTGTGATGAAGACTTGATCGCTTACATTTATGATGTATTTTGAACGAACTAGACATCCGTAATATTTACTATATTTACTATAAATCATTTCAATTTATATATATATAAACAACTACTAAGCGAAAGGGTCTCGAGTGCTGGATTTAATACTGGTAAATTCTTACATCCAAAATGCTCCCTTCTTTTATTAAGACCATTATAATCGTTCTAATTCTTCCATCCACATATAAATCCCAAATCATTAAATGGAGACAATATCGATTGAAATATCGATAAAACATATATCCAAGTCATCTCGACTTTTTTTATTATTTCAAAAATATTTCTTAGTAATTATAAGACTTACCTCTGGTCGATGCTCCGTTCGTTTTCGTCTGAATTTTCTTTTCCCAAAGATTTACCAGTAGAAAGCTTATGTATCATGAAATTAGCCAATCGCTTCACAGCAACGTGGCTGTCATATTTTGAAATCCATATCTTATCACGTGTTTAGCAAGTGTTTGCACGGGTATCGCTTGTGACACGTGACACTAGAGAACCCTAAGCACGACATTCTTGAACTGATGCTGAGTATTTCTTCGTGTTTGCGGGCGTGTTTTTGGGCCTTATCCGCAGCGGTAAACCTGGTGCTAAAGGTCTCTACTGATGAATATTTTTGACTTTTTTCCTTCTATCCATCTATTTTTTCCTCTCTTTCTTCTCTTAAAAAATAAGGTGTATGTATATATATATGTATACTATACAGTCAATTCAAAAAACGTTGTCGTCGACCGGCTCAAGCCTACGCGACTGGACCGAAAGGAATATGGGTAAAATTCACTGAAGCGGTTAAATATTCGTTCTGAATTAATTGTTCCCGCTAGTAGTAAAGATAATAATGGCGAGAAACAATCCATCAAATGCATGTCTTCGGGTTTAGGGAAAGAAAAACAAAGTAGTTATGATTCAGTTCACAATTTCGAAAATATGAAGGCATTTAAAAAACGTCTCCTTCAACACTTCCCGCTCGCCTACGAAGGTTCGTGCTGTAAACCAGGCATAACTAGTCAGATAAAATTATGGAGTCAACTCGGCTTCAATGATTGCTACCCAGAGTTCCTTTCGGTCCAGTCGCGTAGGCTTGAGTTGTTTGACGACAACATTTTTTGAATTGACTCTATATACACTTGATTGCAGAAACGTTGTAGTATACATTTATACAAATACCTAATTTATTCAGTATATTTAATGATATGCAAAACAGAAAACTCGCTTTATTTATTATTTGTTTCATTCAATGAACGTCAAAATATTTTATTCTTGTGTTTTATATCCTACAGATTATAAATCAATTGGTTTTGAGGGTTTAAAAAGTAAAATTGCAATATGCATCTCATTAGGTATTTGTATAAATGTATAAATGTATACTACAACGTTTCTGCAATCAAGTGCATAAATATAAAAAAATAAAAAAATAAAAAAATAAAATAAAATAAAAGACAATAAAATATATTTTTGCCAAACAATAAGTGCTATCATTGGCTTAGGGTGGCTGACTATTTTTGAACGTTCGATTTGAGCCCACGATGTGCGCGCGCTCAAAAACCGCTGATTAATCTTCATAATTTTATTAAAGGACCACACACGTTTTGAACTTCAAGAGGGCAAAACCCTCAAATTTTGCAATTCTTGGTTTTCACCTACGTCATCATGAATTTCAAAAGCGTAAATTCGCATTATAATAAAATAGAAGTTATATATTCTTGTAAAGCGGTCCAAACTACATATACTGGTTAAATTTTAACGCTGTAAAGCATTTTGTTGCGGAACTATAGGYGAGTAAACATGACGCAATTTTTGGTTAGAATGTATGGAGTGGCCATCTTGGTGTTCCAAGTTGGTACACCATCATGGCGGACGAAATTCTAAAGGCTTAAAATGATGGAATATATTTAATATGTTTGACTATTTTTCACTTACACATACTTTAAATAGATATTTTAAACGTGTCTAAGGGAAAATCTTTCAACTAAAGAAAATTATTTTAATATTTTCATCGCTATTTAGAAAGACGTGACGGTATTGCGTGACACAAACTCAACCTTCATAACTCGGGAACCAAACATCGAAATGACTCGAGATTTTTTCTTGTGTCTTATAACACTGACTCCTAAAACATACTTGAGAAATGTCTTTATACGATCTATAGTTTAGATTTTGATGTTTTGATGACGTCATGTGAAAACCAGCAATAGACYCTATGCTTTTTATGAGCTTATTCGAAAAAACTCCTAAAAATCTAGTTTATATTATTTTTTTTTAAGAAAAAGTTGTCTTTTCTAACATGAAAAAATAGATTTTTTTTTGAGAGGCTGAAAGGACAAATATGACAAGTCAATGTGATTCTTTGTCGTTTTTTTTCAAAAACATCAACGTATTATTGTAGAATGATATACCAGCCGTTGCATTCGTGCAATCTAAGGGTCTATAAAGTATTATTATCTCATGAATCCAATTAGAGGTGGACTCTTCTTTCTTTTGTTTTCTAATGCATTCCTTCCTCACTGAGATGCAGGGGTTCATTCTTTCAGTGGCAGCCTTGTTGCAACTAGGTGTATTCATTCATTCATTTATTTATTTATTTGTTATGTAAGTATTATGTATGTTATTATGTATGTATGTGTGTGTCACGGTAAGTTATCATGGGGAAAATGTTCCTAGATATCTTTCGTTTACCTCTACAAAATTTCATTGAGGTTCGATAAATATTTTTGGTAGGAAGCCTACTTTCTCAGAAATAGATAGCAAAATGCATAATCAGTAGGATTTAAATCTCAAACGATATCCGAAGAACACAAGCTCCGCATACTGGAACCACTGTCTGTATCATAATAACAAAAGCTTTTGTACGACGTGCTGAGACAGTAAAGAACCACACTTGTTATTAATTTGGTAATTGGGCTAAACACACTTCCCGGGCTTAAGTTATTATGTTAGTCCTAAGATAGAGAAAAAAAATCACGTTGTATTAACAGAAGTTAAAATATTTTTTGAAACCAAAAAATTGGGCTCATTTCTAATTCAGTGAATTATTATAGCTATTACGGAATGAAGCATAAGTTGCTATGGCAGTGTTTTAGCCATAGCCAATAAAAATGCTTCGTTGGATGCAGTATGTGTCATTAACAACATCACCTACTCTAACTTTTCACCTGCTCAAACTWTTCACCTGCTCTAACTTTTCACCTGCTCTAACTTTTCACATTTCCAAGTTAAAATGGCACTTTCTAATGGGCTCCGAGTCCAGAAAAATTATTTTAGCAAAAACAGTGCCAAAAAAAATTCGTATGAAATTAGACGCCATATTTGATTTCGCTCGCGGATCGTAACACAGGTAGCCCATGTGCAAATATGAAGGATCTTTGTCTATGCGCAGACAAATGATAATATTTATTTATATGAAGCAAATTCAACATAGCGTTTTAAATTGCGCCTTCTGTTTGTGAGAACATTCTAGCTTTAGTTGGAAAACCAATCAGTAGCAAACGATAAAATTTAACTGTTTTTCGCTTTCCTTTTTTTCTTTTTTATTCTAAAAGATATTGCCAAATAATCAAATCTTTTTAATGCAATCAAACCAGGGAGTTTGCATCTGGTCGTACAATGATTTTTATGTTGTTTGTCACACCGAACATTCTACATTATTTTTATTTATTTTTTAAATTTCGCTTGTCAAAACTGAAGGATTTGACAAATTGCGAAATGTGCTTTTTCTAAAAGCGTGGAAGATATTTGGGGAAATATTATTATATCGAAACCTAGAGAGAGTCAATATTTTGACCGAGCGACTAAACGCCGATTGACATTATTGTGTTCATTGCTTATTTTTTGTCTGTTGTCAATGTCAATTTCGCATGCATATAAATAAATAATTACAAACTTAAAAATAAATTGTGGATGTTATTGAGTAAACTTAAAGTTAGATTATTTTTAAAGTGATATCCACAGAAACCTTCTTAAGGTCCTTCAGTACAATGACTCAAGAAGGAAATAAGGAAATTACCAACAATAATAAAGGACCACGCGTGCTTCTAGTTCAAAATGTTGAAGTTTTTCTAACTATTTATTAGTTTGATTAGAAATTATATTGTTTTACCATTGATTGACGCATAAATTAAATCAGAATTTCCGTTAGCAACCTAGTTAGTGACGTGACTAATCAATAGATATTATAAAAGTGACTTGCATATCATAGTGGGAGATTGATACTCATGCTTCTTAGAGACGATGGATGTGATTCCGAGGTGGTGCTTGCCTTGGTTATTTATTCCCTTTATTACAGGGACTATTTCAGTGGTATACACACAAGGTACGTAAGTCAAACAAAATTGCATTATATGTGAGCATGAACTTAGTTTGGTTTACGGATTGCAGTGTAAATTTTTTTTTTTTCGTTTTCTTATCTTTTCTCTCTGTAATAGTGTCTTTACTTCCCTAGAGGTTTTTGATGTTTTCATTTCCTTTCCTTTCCTTTCTTTATCTAATTTCTTTTTCCTTTTCCCTTCCTACCTTTGCGTTTCATTTATCAAAGTTAGGTCGAAAATAATAAATTCACAATCTTCACTTTAGACTCGTAATACTGTATATTTTAACCTATTTATTCCCTCTAAACCCCACCGTCTATTAGATTAGGCAGTTAGTGAAGGCGTTATAACTAATGATTTGAGCCTGTATTCCTGTACTTAACTGTTGACGCTAAGTGATTGTCTTCGATGAGGACTGCAGACTACCTACTGTTAATTGATTTACTGAGTGTATCGCTAATCACGACCGCAAATACGGCACTGGCGCAGCTCAACGGGGTCGAACTGAAAGCAATGTTAAGGCGCCTATGGCAATCGCTATCCAGTCCATGTATGACCCCGAAGCACAGCTCTAATCAGATTTGTGAGGGTTGGTTTGAGAGGAGGGAGGAAAAAAACGGAAAGCCGAAAACGCTCACAGTCAGAAAGAGAACTATTGATTCAGTTAAGGTGGCTGACTACTTTTCAACATTCGATTTGAGCCAGCGATGCGCGCGCGCTCAAAAACCGCTGAATAATCTTCACGATTTTATTGAAGAACCATACACGTTTTGAACTTCAAGAGGGCGAAACCCTCAAATTTTGCACGGGACTCTAGATTTCTTTTGTTAGTTTCCAGAATAACAGACAATATCCCATTACTTAAGTTTAAGACAATTCGGTTTATTAGAACAATGTAAAAAATCGTTCTGTTTGTTTTGTGCTCAATTTTTACGATAACTTGCACACCGTATAACCTGAACACAAAAAAGTTTTTCCATTGTCTACAATAGTTTATTAAAACAACTATTATCAGTATTTTATAAATATAGTATAAGTTACGTGTTCCATAAAAAAATTTACTCAGGTTTCTTCCTTAGTTTCGGTTTTATGATTTTTTTGTACATAGCTTGATTTTCGTTGCTTTTCTTCCAAAATTGTATAAACGCATGTCAGTTCTGAGTGATTGCCTCAAAAACAAGCTCGGGACACACCCATTATTCTATGCAGTTTTGAAATCAGCATTAAATTTCAGGTTAAAAAAGTTTCAATTTTCAATTGTCTGTCTATTATTTACCAAAGTAGTCAGCCACCTTAAACCAATTCGATCACCTTACATGGGGCGTAGAAGTCCTGAGAACCGATGACATAATGCATTTTTGTAGTGTAATCCAGCGGCATTTTTTTAAGTTTAAAGGATTCAAAAACGTTTTATTTTACAATATTAAATACAAATTTGAAAACATTGCGATAAAAGAACTAGGTACAAGGAAATCTACTTGGCTATTTCAACTTGTGCTTTGCATTTCGATGGGTCTAAAGCCGACTCAAAATACCATTTATCCTGGGTCAGACCCATTGATCTAATTGATCAAGAGACAGGTTTAAGCCATTTGTTGTTAATCATAATACAAGAACTTAAATATATTAAACTTGCAATTAGAATTCGTAATATCGATTAGATACCTCCAGATCAAACGACGAAAATAAATACGAGATAAAGAGTATGGCAGTGAGTACGACAACGAGTTCTTAACTTTTAAAGATTGGCACTATGATTTTGCTTTCGTGGTCGTGTACGTAGATCGAAACTTTAGATGCTAAAAAAAGGTAAATCCAGCACGATGCAGTGTTAACAACGCGCGACAGGACCAATTTTGAAACTCATTCCTATACTCGCTCTCGTCGTCGGATCTAATATTTACGGTGGCCCACAAGTCTCACGGCAAAACAAAAACTCACGGCAAAACAAACTAAACTCACGGCAAAACAAACTAAACTCACGGCAAAACAAACTAAACTCAC